CCCTGCTTCTCCCCTGCCTGCCGTTCCCCCCCGCTTGTACTTGCTCTCTACCTCTCTTTTTTTCTCTCTCTCTGTCAAATAAATTAATTAAATTAAAGACTGTTTAAAAAAAAAAGAAAAGAGGCGCCTGGGTGGCTCAGTGAGTTAAGCCTCTGCCTTCGGCTCAGGTCATGATCTTAGTGTCCTGGGATTGAGCCCCGAGTCAGGAATCTCTGCTTAGCAGGGAGCCTGCTCCCCCCACCCCCCCGCCGCCTGCCTCTTTGCCTGCTTGTGATCTCTGTCAAATAAATAAATAAAATATTTTAAAAAAAAAAAGAAAAACAATTACTTTAAGTTAAAAATGTCATTTACTTAACATGAAATAGGTTTATTGTTATTTTTAAACAAATTAACAAATACTGTAAAACTATCAGTTTTAATTTATTACTGTGATAAATATCCATAGGTGGCCATTTATATAGTTTCTAAGTTTTTACCATTATGAGCAATGTACTGTGAACATTCTTGTGTGTTATACCTGGTGTACAAGTTACCAAGTTTGTCTAAGGGACATAATAATGGAATTGATGGGTCATAGGTATGCATATTTGCATTATAGTAGAAAATACCAAACATTTCCAAAGTGATTATATCAACATATGCTTCACTTTTCCTGAGACAGTTTGGTAGGTTATATTTTTCTACCACTTTGTCTTAATTTTTAAAATTACTTTTAATCCTTTATAATTATAGTTATGTACCTTTCTTTTTTTTTTAAGATTTTATTTATTTGACAGTGAGAGAGGTAATACAAGCAGAGGGAGTGGGAGAAGCAGGCTTCCCAGCAAGCAGGGAACCTGATGGAGGACTCGATCCCAAGATGCTGGGATCATGACCTGAACTGAAGGCAGACGCCTAACGCCTGAGCCACCCAGGGGCCCAGTTATGTACCTTTTTATGTTCTTGATATATTTTTGTCTTTTCTCTCTCTCTCTCTCTCTCTCTTTTTTGATTGAAGAAGGCAAGCAATTATTTATTAGAATTAGTTGGAAAGACTTGGGGGCACCATACTTAAAAGTCCAAATCAAACACTAGCTTTGGAGCTAGATTAATTGACACCACAGTAGTTCTTGGACCCACTGTGACCTTGGGCAAATAACAGCAGTACCTCATAGACCTGTTGAGAAGATTAAGATAATGTAGAATGAGTTTACTAATTCTGGCACCTCATCAACATGCAATAAACGTTGTCAGTGTTGTAGAGCGCCTCGTGTCCTGCAGTAGCTTCACAGGAATATCCTTTCCTGGTGTCACAGGGCTGTCAAACTTCTGAGGTCCTGATGGAGCAGCTTTCTCACTCAGGTAAAAGCGTCTGAGGATGCCGTACAGAAACTCTTCAGGGCCAAGGGTGCCCTACTTTCAAGTCATCCTGGGGCTGCCTCTGTCCAAAGCCTCCACACATGTCTGGAGGTTGGCCGGAGTACTCCTGCCAGAGCAGAGGCTGCAGGGAAAAGGACAGCCCGAAGTCAATGCTTTTTCTCTTTCTTTTTAAAAAGTAAACATACATTTACTCTGTGCACCAGCAATTCCATTTATAGGTATTTTTCAAGAAAAACTAAAACAGATCCACAAGTTGCCTTGTACAAGAATGTTCATAGCAAGTTCACTACTAATAGACCAAGTGTCCATCACCAGGATATTAGATAAGGAAATTGCCATGTGGTATATTTGTCAAATAAAATGGAACAAACCACTGCACTACCAGTGAATAATGTCAAAAGCATTATGCTGAGTGAATAAGTCAGACAAAAAATTATAAACTATGTGATTCCATTTATATGAATTTCTAAAATGGACAAAACTAACCTATGTTGATAGAAATCAGATCAGTGGTTTCTTCTTATGGGAATATTGACCAGGAAGGAGCTTGAGGGCGTTTGACAAAACTGACTTAACTCTTTTAACTCTATATACTTAAGATCTGTGCGTTTACTATGCATACATTAAATCTCAAAAACTTTGGCTAAAAAAGAAATCTTACCAGAAGTTTATTGGGTTTTGTTATTCTTGTAAAACCAACTTTTCACATCATTAAGGCTATTTTATCTTTGTTTATTATTTCATTACACTGGGCCCTTGCCTTCATTAATTTCACCCTTCTACTTTTTGTGTTTATTCTCTTGTTCTTTTTGTGGCTTCTAAAATTAGATGCTAAACTCATGAATTTTCATCCTTCTTTTTTTTACTCTAAGTGTCTAAGGATGAATTTCTCACTTTCATTACATTCCACAAGGTTTTCCGAAGTTGTTAAATGTGTCATATATTAAAAACAATAAATGTAATGTACTGTTTAAAAATAATAATCGAGGGGCGCCTGGGTGGCTCAGTGGGTTAAAGCCTCAGCCTTCGGCTCAGGTCATGATTCCAGGGTCCTGGGATTGAGCCCTGCATCGGGCTCTCTGCTCGGCAGGGAGCCTGCTTCCCCCTCTCTCTCTGCCTGCCTCTCTACCTACTTGTGATCTCTGTCAAATAAGTGAATAAAATGTTTAAAAAATAATAATAATAAAAATCAAATGAATAACCATGTATCTACCATCTAGGATGAGAAGAACATTAGTAGTCCCCTGGGCAACTCAAACACATCCCCCTTTCTGTCTCCTACCATCTTGGCTTTTGTTTTAATCATTTTTGTTGTTTTTCTTCATAATTTTACCACCAGTGTGTCTATTCCTAAATAATATACTGTCCATTCTTAAAAAACTGGAGAATAAGCACCAGTGTAGCCATACAGAGAGAGAAGAGTATTGCCATTATTAGATAAATTGGCCCAAGAGAAAAATAAGCTGAGAACTTCTAGGTCATGGTCTTGCTTTGGTTATCTGAAAGTTTGCAAGGCTTTTTCTGGTGAAGTCTGTGGGCAAGGTCCTCAACAAGCTGTGAGAATGTGGGGTACCGCCGGGGCATATGGGAGAGCTCTGGTGTGCACTCGGTAGTGGGCATCTGATAGAAATGTAGTCAGAACAGGCTGCCCTGTGCTTCTGCGTCTAACCACAGCTGTGTGGAGCTCTCAGCAACAGGCCAAAGCAGAACCCTTCTGACAGAGTTTGTGTAGGTTTACATGCATGTTCACCTTTCCTCCTTACATCTTCAATGGCTTTCCTGGGATCCTTCAGCCTAAAGGAAATCTTTCAGATGAAGGTCTGTGGCTGATAAAATTTTCTTTTCTTTTTTTCTTTTTTTTAGTCAAATATCTTTATTTTATTCTCAATTCTTGATGATGGCTATACCAAGGAAACAATCCTAGATTCTTTTCTGTCTTGCAGATTAAAAACAAACAAACAAGGAGCGCCTGTGTGGCTCAGTTAAGTGTCTCCCTTCGGCTCAAGTGATGATCCCAGAGTCCTGGGATCCAGCCTGGCATCGAGCTCCCTGCTCAGCGGGGAATCTGCTTCTCCCTCTGACCCTCCCCCTGCTTGTGCTTGTGCTTGTATGTTCTCTCTCTCCTCTCCCGCCACTCTCTCTCACATAAATAAATAAAATCTTGAAATAAAATAAAAACAAACAAAACACTAATTATCATTCCTATGGGAACTCTCTTTTTGCTTTGACTGCTTTAAGATTTCATTTCTTTGGTGGTGCACCTGGGTGGCTTAGTCCCTTGGGTATCCAGCTCTTGATTTCGGCTCAGATCATGATCTCAGAGTCCTGAGATCAAGCTCCCCACCCCACCCCACAACCACCACCCCCCCGCCATGGGCTCAGTGCTCAGTGTGGAGTCTGGTTAAGATTCATTCTCTCTCTCTCTCTCTCTTTCTCTGTGCCCCTCCCCCCACTATTTGCACATACGTGTGCTCTCTAAAAAAATGGATAGATAAATAATAATTTTTTAAAGTTTTCTTTGGTATTTTTCAGTTTTATTGCGTGTCTAAGAATAGATTTATTTTTACATATAGTCATTATGATACCTTCCCCTTCCAAAATTTGCATTCATGTTCTTCATCAGTTCTAGGAAATTCTCAGGCACTGATATCGTCTCTCCTACATTTTCTCTATTCACTCCTTCAGCAATTTCAGGTAGATGTGTGTCAGACCTCTTTCTGTTTCCAGTAAGCTAATTTTCGTGTTTACGTTTGCCTTGTCTCTCTCTGTCATATTCTAGGGGACTTGGGTACGTCTCTCTTCCAGGAAGCCAGTTTCCCTTCGGTTATCTAATCTGCTTCTTTGGCCATCCACTGAGTGATTGACTTCAGAAGTAGTTTTTTCTTTCCTTCTGGTTCCTTTCAAATCAGCATAGTTCTTGTCAGTTGCCTCTTATTGCTTATTCATCTTTGTGGTTCTGTTCTTTATCCCTTTAAACATTTCATAATAGCTGTTCCGTATCTAGTCATTCCCTTACCTGTAGTTCTGGAAGCTCTAAATTTGGTCAGTGTTGTTCCTGCTGACTCTCACGTATGGTGACCTACCCTGTGTGCTTGACAACCTTTGGTTTTGAGCTCACATCTATTTACTGGATGTTATTTTTTGGAAATCATGTCAGTCCAGATTTGGGAGAAATTTTCTCCAAAAGTTGTTTGAATATGCTTTTGCCAAAAGATAAGTGGTCCTAATGACCTGGGACTCTTGTATCCCCTGTGGGAATCCTGGATTAATGTGAGAATCGCTGGCTCATTGTCCCCACTCTTTGCTGCAGGACCTCAGGGGAATATCACCTTTTCTATATATACTGTACCACTTACCTTATCACTACTCTCAGCTCTAGTTTCAGTTCTGGGGTATCTTTTTTCAAGAGAAAGTCTTTAAGGCATCTCTTATATTATGTAATGTCAGCCTTCTGTAAAATATGTTTGTATCCAAGATCTAGTTGTTTTCTAACAAGAAAGGTATTCTGTCATTTTGCCAAAAACAAAATCCAACATCCATTTATGAAGGTTGCCATTATTAAATGCCTACACCCATTGAACCATTATTCTACTACATCCCAAGTTGTGTGCTTATTTATACATAAATAAGATGTACCCTGTCTTCAAGGACACAATAGATAATTTCAATATAACAGGACAAGTAACGAGAGAGAAATAAACCCAAAGTTTTCTTTTTCCTCCACATGTATTCTGAAGGGAAGCAAAGGGGGGAAATGATATTCTAAAGTTAAATGATTAAGGGTAATCATATTTGAATAAGGCCCTGGATACCAACTTATATAGGAATTTTAAACATAATAGCGATAATGGTACCATTTATGATGTGCTGTTTACACCTAGTAATTCAAACCCAAGTGGTGTGGTTCCAGGGCCTATGCACTACTATACAACAGCCACTTCCTTGAGTCAGTGTGAATTCATTTGAAAAATTGAGATGCTGTTTCTTATAAGAAGGAATCAGAAAAGATTAGTCTCCTTTAAATTAGCTTTTTAAATATATATATATATATATATATAATGAAGGACACAAAGAGTTTAATCATAAGGTCACCTACTTTGACATATCATACTTTTGTTGCAGGATGGGGAAATGGTGCTGCTGGATGGAGGTTGTGAGTCTTCTTGCTATGTGAGTGACGTAACCCGTACCTGGCCTGTCAATGGCAGGTAGGACTTCTACAGACCCCATTGCTTCTTAGGAGTGTGAGTTGCAATATGGGTGTATTAGGGCTAAATGACTAAACAAATATACAGACCCCCAAAGCTCAGGAGCTTTGCAAAGCTCCTGATTACTTTCTAAGACTGTTTTATTCCCTAAATCATAGGATTGGGCATCTAGACACACCTAGTTAACACACACACACTCACATTGTTAAAAAGGAATAAATTTGAGGATGCCTGGCTGGCTCAGTCAGTGGAGCATGTGTCTCTTGATCTTGAACTTGGGGCTCAAGCCCCATGTTGGGTGTAGAGATTACTTAAAGTCTTTTAAAAATAAATAAAATTTGGAGTTTTTATTTTCTGATTACAAAAGTAATTCCAGTATTCAGTTAAAAAAAAAAAAACAACACTAGACATGAGAAGAATCAGAAAAAGAATCAGAAAATGACCCATAGGGACACCTGGGTGGCTCAGTTGGTTAAGCGGCTGCCTTTGGCTCAGGTCATGATCCCGGCGTCCTGGGATCGAGTCCCACATCGGGCTCCTTGCTCGGCAGGGAGCCTGCTTCTCCCTCTGCCTCTGCCTGCCACTCTATCTGCCTGTGCTCTCTCTCTCTCTCTCTCTCTCTGAAAAAAAAAAAAAAGAAAATGACCCATAATCAAGAAAAATAGTCAATAAAAGATCCTGAGTAATCCTAATATTTCAGTTAGCAAACAAGGACTTTAAAGCAGCTATCATAGATATGTTCACAGAGTTAAAGGAACATATATAAGTACAGTGAGTGAACAGATGGAGAGTTTCAGTAAGAAATAGGAAACTAAGAAAATAAGGGTACCACCTGGGGGGCTCAGTCATTAAGCATCTGCCTTCAGCTCAGGTCATGATCCCAGCATCCTGGGATCCAACCCCATATTGGGCTCCCTGCTCAGCGGGGAGCCTGCTTCTCCCTCTCCAGCTCCCCCGTGCTTGTGTTCCCTCTCTCATTATCTCTATCATAAATAAATAGAATCTTTTAAAAAAGAAAGAAACTAAGAAATAACCAGAGATTCTGGGGAGATGGTAGCAAAAGCATAGTTTCTTACTCTCTCCAAATTATCAAATAGCAATAGAGCTACCAGGTACCAAAACCAAACACTAGGTGACAGGCTATCACTTACACTGTAAAATACAAACGTTTATGAATACATTCTACACAGCCATAAGGCCAAGATGATAACAGTATCTGTATGGAAGAAATAAGGAAGCAACAATAGTGGAGGAAGCTGTCTGACGTACCTGAGAACAAAGGAACTCACAGATAACCAACAGCTATTCACTGGAAAAGGTGGTGAGCCGATTTGAGAACAGAAACTGAAAATGGGAAAGATTTGTCACTCCAAAGGCCCGAGGAAGTTTGAGGGTGCTGTGCTCCCTTCTCACACTAAGAAGAAACTGCTGGAAGTAGAATTGAAAGTAAGCAGGTTAGGGACAAGAGAGAGGAAGGAATTAAAATATCCAAATCAAAGAGGGGGAGAGGAATTGAAAGTAAGCTGCCACATTGTGTTACCCCTACACCAAAACGACAGAAGAGTGAGCACTGTGATATTAAAAAAATCTTTCCTAAATCCTGCCTCATTCTCAAAGCTCAGAAAAGTTAATTTTATATAAAATAAGCAATAAAAAAGTAACTTGGTTAATCTCATACAAAGTTAATTAGAGGCAAAAAAAAAAAAAAAGGAATAAGGAGTGCATAACATCCCTACTGATAAAGGAAGCATACTGGAAAGACATGGCTACAAAAGAGATGAAAACGGGCCTACTATGTTAAAGCAAGCTAGAATTTTTTTTTTTTTTTTAAGATTTTATCCATTTATTTCACAGACAGAGATGGGCAGAGAGGCAGGCAGAGAGAGAGGGAAGAAGGCTTCCTACTGAGCAGAGAGTCCGATGTGGGGCTCAATCCCAGGACCCTGGGACCATGACCTGAGCCAAAGGCAGAGGCTTTAACCCACTGAGCCACCCAGGAGCCACTGCAAACTAGAATTTTTTTTAAGCACATCATTCAAGACATGAAAGAACAACACAAATCAAAATTGGAAAAATCTCAGAAACCATGTGACAACACACAGTAAAGAACTAGAAATAAAAAATCATACCAGAAAAAAAGACTGGACTGGAAGGTATGCACTAACAATGAAGCACAGTAAAGCCTTAACAACAAATAGGATGAAAGGGAAGAAAATTTTAAAAATCAAAATGAAATTAAAAATTACAGGGAAAATAGCAAATATCTAAAATGGGCAAAGAAGTTAGAACATACACATAAAGGAAGCTCTGAAGAAAATGAAGGCATAGGAACAGAACACATCCTAAAAACTACAATAAAATATTCCTGAAATGAAAATTTAAAACTACTTTTGAAAGAACACATCATGGAGCTGAGAACATCAGCCCAGAAAAAGCAACAATAAGACATAGTCTAGTAAAATTCTGAACCTACAAGAAAAAAATTCCTTTGGGATCCAGAAAAAAAGAACATGTGATATATAAAGGGAAGGAAATCAGGTTATCATCAGACTTTTCAAAAGCAATGCTATATACAAGTAGAGAATAGAGTGGGGCACCTGGGTGGCTCAGTGGGTTAAACCTCTGCCTTCAGCTCAGGTCATGATCTCAGGGTCCTGGGATCGAGCCCCACATCGGGCTCTCTGCTGAGTAGGGAGCCTGCTTCCCCCTCTCCCTCTGCCTTGCCTCTCTGTCTACTTGTGACTCTCTCTGTCAAATAAATAAATAAAATCGTAGAGGAAAAAAAAAATGAGTAGAGAATAGAGTAACATTAGAGATACTCAAAGAACAAAAGTGTAATCCAAAGACTTTATATGCAGCAAAAGCAACTTTAAGCTATAAAGGGCACAGATTATTGTGTAGAAACCTAAGGGTTACTCCCATGAGGAATCTGTTAGAGCTAGATGTATGATCCAATATGAAACCTAGTCACCAATGCCGTGGGACTACTTACATTTAAATTAGTATCAAACCAAATTTACACTGGTTTTTTTACTTGAACTGACCACATTTCAAGTGCTTCATAGTCACGTGTGCCTGGTGGGGGCCATATTGGACGACAGATACACAGGGCAGCACATCAGCACAGGGAGGTTTATTGATCAGTGCTGTGCTGGAGCCTGAACTTCAGTTGACCAGAATTGACTAGAGACATTGACATAAGGACTCCTGGTGAGAACTTGAGAAATCGTTCACTGTTGAACTAAGACTAGATGAAGCTAAGCGGAAGAGAGCGTCATAGTAACAACCCTATGCTCTGATCATGTAGAATAGTACATTTTTTTAAATGGAGAATGGGAGGAGCATATGCAAAAAAAAAAAAAAAAAAAAAAAGCTTCAGTATTTTCAGGAGTTATATTTGTTAAAATATTTGTATTGTTACTCTGAAATGGTGCGTGTCTGTGTAGGGAGTTAAAAGAGTAGGGAGGCCTGGGTGGCTCAGTGGGTTAAAGCCTCTGCCTTCAGCTCAGGTCATGATCCCAGGGTCCTGGGATCAAGCTTGGCATCCAGCTCCCTGCTCAGCAGTGAGTCTGCTTCCCCCTCTCTGTCTACCTCTCTGCCTACTTGTGATCTCTCTCTGTCAAATAAGTAAATAAAATCTTTAAAAATAAAATAAAAGTAAGAGGGGTGCCTGGCTGGCTCAGTCAGAAGGGCATACAACTCTTGATCTCAGGGTCATGAGGTCAAGCCCATTCTGGGTGTAAAGATTACTTAAATAAACAAGCGGTGGAAATAAATAAATAAATAAATAAATAAATAAATAAATAAATAAGGATGATTTTAGTTCTGTCTTCCTTTTGTCCTTGAGAACCCTCATGCATGGTATGGAACAAAAAAAGTAAATGAAATTATTATAATAGGTTGCAAAAAGCTCTGTAGTCTCAAATGTTAATTGAAGTGTCAATATGAACTCAAATGATTTTATGTTTCTTCCCCCTTCCCTTTTCTGTCCACTGAAAATCAGGCTGGAAACTATGACCAGCTTAGTAGCAGTAAGCATCACTAGTGCCCTGAGTATGATCTTGAAATACAATTTTACACTAAACTGAATGAAAACTTGAAGAGTTGGCTGGCTTCAAGTCTGGATCAGGAAATTTATAAGATGAAGCCTGGAATGTCTTAGAATACCAGATAGCAAGGAAATGATCAAAACCCAGTAACATCCTGTCAAAAAGATTCAGGAACCAACTTGAGGTTGCACAGGTCAAAGATAGGAAACTTTGGGCTTCAATAATGGTAATAACTTATACCCACCAAATACATTCAAATTCATAAGTTCATAATGATAGTTTTTTTGTAATAGTAATTTTTTAAAAATTGTTCATCTTCAGAGGATGATGGGAATCAATTCATTATATTGAAAAGTGGTAAATAAAAGAAAGAATCAAGTATTCATCCTGCCTTTCATATATAAACTCTGTCACTGGATAGCCAAAGAGATTAGAGGAAATATCTCTTTAAAATATTCCATAAAGAGGCGCCTGGGTGGCTCAGTGGGTTAAAACCTCTGCCTTCGGCTCAGGTCATGATCCCAGGGTTCTGGTATCGAGCCCCACATCGGGCTCTCTGCTCAGCGGGGAGCCTGCTTCCTCCTGTCTCTCTGCCTACTTGTGATCTCTCTCTGTCAAATAAATAAAATCTTTAAAAAATAATAAAATTATTACCATTTTGCAACATCCATTAATGTATAGATGTAAGCACTCAAGGATCCATGGCTGCTAAGATCACAAGAGACAATCAGATATTATATGCCTCCTATAATTTTGCCAAGTACTACATATAGCCAGCCTTACCAAAACAATTGAACCTGAGCCTGATTCATTCTTGAGATCCAGCTGCCAATTTGTAAGAAATAAAAAGACAAAGGAATATGTTGAACTACACCAAGGGGACATGTATTCGTCAGCTTACGTTGCCATAACAAAATATGACAGACTGGGTAGCTTAAACAACAGAAATTT